AACTTTCTTCTGTAGAAAAATCTGCAGAACGAGAGTCGCGAGCGTTTTTTCCAACAGATTTTCCACCTTGCTCTGCAGAAAATTCTGTAGAAATTTACATATTTTGCAGACTTATAAACTTCCTTCTGTAGAAAATTCTGCAGAAATGTACGTACTTTGTAGACTCATAAACTTCCTTCTGTAGAAAAATCTGCAGAACGAGAGTCGCGAGCGTTTTTTCCAACAGATTTTCCACCTTGCTCTGCAGAAAATTCTGTAGAATGAGCGTGTTACCACGTTCTTTGGCCCATCAATTCCAGCAGATTGTGGGCGCGAAAATGTTGCAGAAAATTCTGCAGATTTTTCTGCAGATTTTTTTTGCAGCATATTCTGCAGATTTTTTTCATAAGGGCAAAAATGCTAAATGTAAAACGAATTGAAAGATCCTTGATAAAATAAAAAAGCTTTCGAGGGACTTGCTGCTGTATCGCTGCGGATCGAGTTAGTTCAAATCGACTCTTGCTTGTGAACGGCTGTATTACAAAATATCATTCAATAAGAAAATGTTAACTTATTTACTAATATAAATTAACGGATTCGTCTGATAGACGCTCGTAGAGCATCAAGTGAACCGAGAGATAGTTTTCCCGAGTTGTTCGGAAAGCCGTTGAGATAGAGTGAGTGCGTGGTAGTTTCGGACCCCGTCGAAGAGTGACCGCGAGTAGTGTGACCCTAAGCCCTCGAGTATTCTTTTTTAATACTTACAGCATGACTTACATCTACTCCATTTTCTTCATTAACTAATTCAATTAAAATGCAGTCATTGATCTCCATGATGTTATTGTAGTATAAGCAAATGCAACAAATTCATGAATGACTAATTAAGGGGACACATACACCTTAAATTCAAAAAAATTTTTATTGCATTTTTGAGTAGGATTTTTCCTCCTTTTTCCATTGCATTTTTCGAAATTCCAAAATTTTAATTTTCCCCTGAGATACAGCTGTTTCCGTGAACCCTTTTCCTATACTTTACGTGTTGAATTTTTTCTTCTTTTGCGTTTTCTGGCGAGTAGTGGTTTTGGTCATCTATCGTAACTTTCAGAGGGTACTGATTTTTTTTTATTTTTTTTTTTTTAATTTTGTCAAGGTTTGTATACTAATTAAATATCTCATGGTCCGAACCACTTACCTCGATTTTTTGGCGAAGATCCAACGACGTTTCTACGATGATCCAACGACGAACGCCACCGGGCCACGTGAGCGGGATTTGAACCCAAATCTCTATATGTCTGGCCAGAATCATATAGAGACCCGAGCGTCATTTTTTTTTTTTTAAAGAATTATGTTTATTTGGCAAATACTGTGTTTTTACAAGTTTTAAACATATACAGGAAACATAACTATATAATTAGGTCGAAGTTAAAGGAATGGTCCCTTGGGACACTCGCCAGTATATAATGAGTTATAATGAAATTATAATATGACTTACATGTTAGTACATACTGTGATATTGAGCCTCTTAGAAAAATGTAAACTAAGAATTTGCTACATTGTAATTTAAAATTAGTGGTTTTTGGTTTTTGGGTTAACAAGATAAACTCTAATAATAAAAAAAAAGAACGAAAGGTACAAATATATTTACAAAGTTTTCTTATAGTAGTTAAAGTCTTTTAACAAATAGGCGTCAAATTCTGTTAAATGGTCACAATAAACATGTTGACTACTATCAAATAATTCTATGAATATTTTTTTGTTGAGATTGTTTCTACTCATCTGGTAAAGAACATGTTTGCCATCGTTATGTATTATTACATTATATCTATCTAAGTAGAAAAAGGCTTCTGGGGGCACATACCCATTGCCTAGTGCTTTTCTAATATATTCATCGTTATAAATATATGGACCATAAATTAGGCTATTAACTCTACTGTTAAGCGCGCACTTAATATAGTTTCTAGTTAAATATACAATGAACGAGTCAATTCTGGGTATTTCAGCTTGTTTGAGTAGCTCATAGTTCCTTACTCTTTTTACGTAATTGCTGCTTACTGATCGGTATTTGTTTAAGCAGGCTCGAATTATTTTTCTTTCGAATAATCTTAGTTTTTCGACAGCAGACGCAGACGCGTTGAACCAGATGGGGCAACCGTATGTGAGCAGAGGACAAATTAGGCATAAATAGCAAATTATTTTAGCTCTATTGTTTAAAAAAGGTGAGTAGAATAAACTATGTAGCTTCTTAAACATTGCTCTGGCTTTCTCCAGCTGTTTCTTCATATGAGTGTTGAATTTTAGGAGATCGTCAATGAGGATTCCCAGGTATTTGACTTCCCTCTTATGAGGGATCTTTACATTTGTAATAGGGTCATATAGTGCAAAACTCTTCCAATTCTTGCGCGTGTATGCGCTTTCGTCTTTATGGGTTTTGCGTATGAGTATTGTTTCGCATTTATTTGTGTTAATTGTGAGTTTCCACTGAGTGTAGAAGAAATAAATTTTGTCAAATATCTCTTGTCTGCAGTATATAAGATTAAATCATCCGCGAACGCTAGCGCAGAGACCTTCCCCATATTAAGCTCAAATAACTTGAGAAGATCAGCTGTATTTATATTAAATAACAAAGGTGAGTTGACGGTCCCCTGCTGGAGCCCCTTAGTAATAGTAAATATATTGTTTGTGTTTATGATGTTGTTGCTAACTAATTGGAATTTTTTGTTTTTTATCATATTTATGATTATTTTAAAGAGGTGGGGGTTTATATTTATTTTTTTTAGTTTATAAATTAGACCATTGTGCCAGACCGAGTCGAAGGCCTTTTGTAGGTCGACTAGGACTGCACCCGTCATCTCATCTTTGTTATAGTTCCAGCATATGTCCGAAATCAGTTTATGTACAGCGTGTATTGTCGAGTGCCCTTGCTTGAAACCAAATTGGTGTTCGGGAGCAGCATTGGTTGATATGGAATTTTAAGAGTCTTTCAAACACTTTGCTGATCACCGGCAGCAGGCTTATGGGTCTAAGATTATCTAACTCAAGGGGTAGTCCGGGTTTTTTATTCAAAACTATCAGTTTCGCCTTTTTCCAAGCTTCTGGGTAATAACCGTTATTAAGGCAATTATTGAAAATAATCGTGTAATTTTTAATATAGTGGTAATTAAGTTTTTTAAGTATGGTGTTGGGAATTTCGTCCCAGCCAGTCGATGTTTTGTTTTTTAATATCTTGATGTTTTTCATTACGGTGCGCGTATGAGTGAATAGTGAATTGGCTGAATTACAGTAGCGGTTGGGTTTGAGGCCCTGTTGCTGTTATTGAATGTCGTAATAGCTGGTAGCGCGTTTAACTTATTTTTAGTTTCTAGTACTTTTTTGTTAATTATTTTTTCCAGCTCTGACCCCGAGTCAGCGTCTTTGGAATTAATTTTATGGAAGAAATTTCCTATGATATTATTAGACCCGAGCGTCATAACCACTTACCCACGAGGACCTTCACTTATTCATGTAAAAAACTTCTACATAAACGTCTCAAGCAGTTACACTGCTGAATTACATTCAAGACGAAAGTAAGGAGAAAGACGGTGATTTTGTCTGAGATTTCTACTTTATCGACGATAAATATTTTGTTTTTTTATTTGATTCACTTGGCTTTCTCTTTAAAAAAGAAGCACGAATTTTAAAAGGAATCTTGAAAAATTATTATTCAAAATAAATACTTTTCCTTATATTCTTGACCTGAAAAAATTCTTTTTACATCTTCATTGATGCTTTCGTCGCGCTTCGGCCCAAAAAATTCTACAGTAAAGAGCCTAAAATCAAATGAGTTGGTATATGGTTTGTTTGACAATAATCTCAAGAACGACGGGAAAAATGACGGAAAAACTTTCAAGTCAGTTTTCTCGAGTAAAGCGGAAAATTTCGGGAAATCTGACCTTACAATTGGAAATCTGAGACAATTTTCCATCGAAATGATAGGTTAATTTTTTCTTCTAGGTCCATTTAGGTACTTTTCCGGTCCAGCTATTAGGACCCGAGCGCAGCGAGGGTCCTAAACTACGTTGTGCCAAAAGGCGTTGCTTGTGCCACTAGTATAGTAGAGTACTAGCCCAATACTCGTGACATGGGGTACTATTATGCAATAGTATGACTAAATTGTACTTTACGATACAAGTGGCATAAGTAACACTTTTTTGCACGGCATAGTTTAGGGCCCGAGCGCAGTGTGGGTCCTAATAGCTGGGCCGAAAAGTGTTTTGTTATTGACACGGTCGTTCGCGCATTGCGATTATTAAGCAGACATGATCGGGCAGTGGCAGCAGCAGTTTCCAACGTTGATGCAATTGCGAACACGTTGGCCCGCGATTATCTATCGCATTCGTTTATCAGTGCAATGATTATATTGTATATCCAATCGTTCGGTTTACCCTATGGGTGGGCCAAGATCGTACACGTAGCACCGATCGATATGCTTCGCAACAAAAACAATTTTCAGAGTTCATGAATGATGTATTTAAAGGCAGAGTTCGCGATGCTTCTTATCAGCGATACCAGTTATTCCGGATTTTCATTTTACTTGAATTCTAAAATCGTACGAACGGCTAGAAAAATAACGTGGAACCTTCGATCTTTAGTCGAGCGCCGGGCTTTTGTGAAACGATTCAAATTAAGTCGCAAGGCAAAGATCGTCCAGGCAAAAAACATGGAAAGTCGGCTAATTGCAGCGCTTATTTAGCTAAAATCGCAACGCAACGAGGCGAAATTGCAACAGCCGCAAATATATATTATATATATGTAAAGACTTGGGCTCGTTGCTGCTGCTCGTGCAGGTATATAATAGCCACAGCGGCGGGTCAGACTGCACACACGCACACACACGCACACACACACACACACACACACCGCAGTCCGGTATATGCGGCAGGCTTAGGCGAAACTAAACGAACTGGTTCGGCGAGTGCGAGCGAGCAGATATATAGTCTGCTTTCGCGAGCTCGCAAGTATAGCAGCAGCAGCTCCGAGCACGGTCGAGATCGTGAAAAGGAAGGATAAACTTTGAAGAGATTTGCGCGCGTAAAATCATCACAATCATCGTGCATCGCATCTCGCTCGGAGCTCTGCTCGCGTCAAGGACGGGGACTGGCTAAAAAGTCGCTCGCCGAGCTGCTGCCTGCAGTTCGCGATTTGCAGCAGCAGCGACGGCTGTGATCGCTATATACTACACATACATATACTTGTGGCGGATATATATATCTATCGGTCTCGCCGATTCGCGCGTACTTTATATTAATGCGGCGCCCGTCTTAAGCACACCAGTCGTACTTGGATTCGTGCAGCGAGCGCAAGTTCACCTCCTCTGCGATCGGCAGTGCGTTGCTTATTATATATAGTCCGGCCGCGCGACGACGAGAGAAAAACGGATCCACATAGCTCATGCGGCTGGAATGATCACTGCAGCGGACTACATATGCCGAACGACAACGGGCAAGGTGTGTGTGGGTGTGTGTGCTGCATCTTGGTGTCTGTGTTTATAGCTGCATTTTTTCTTCAACCAGTACTACTAGTTGTTTTTTTTTTTGGAGTCGCAATCAACGCTCCACGATTGAAGAAGATCGATCCAGAATTGATCATTTGTAATTCATCGTTTTGTAATCAGTGTCTCGATGTTTTTACATGCCAGTTTGAAATAGTGACCCCACCCGCCTACGTAAAATAAGAAGAGAAAAATGCGAACGCAGCGGCTCAACAGCGATCGCCGTAATTGCCTCGCTTTGAATCGTTCTTGACTCGACGATCTTCGATTCGCGCAATTGGTTGTATCGTGTGCCGTCGTACGCGTGAAAAATCGGGCTGCCCGAGCGATTCTCGCGTACACACACACACACACACACACACACAATTATAAGACGTCGCGAGGCCAATGGCCTGCTTGCGTGTGCGTAGTGTGACACATAACGCGCCGACGAGCGAATTAGCGACTATTTGTCATATTTTCCGCAGCCGGAGCTCGCGAGCAGCGCACACGCGTGACACGCGCTGTACTTTCGCTTTCGTTGTGAATATTATACATGACTGCTGCTGCAGACTCGAATTCGCGACGACCGTCGTCGAGCGATCGCCGCTGCAGCAATCCCATGCTATACAGACGCCGAGATTGGCTGCCGCTGCCTCTGCATTATGCGTAAGCGACGCGCCGAGTTAATAAATCCCGAGTATGTGTCGCGAAGGAAAAGATGCACTCGAGCGCGTGTTAAAAAAAATCGATATTATTACTCATTAATCAAGCCGGATCGGCTTACTACGTATTATACTCGAATGCAAAAGACGACGATGATCGTGTCGAGGAACTGCGACTGTGCGACGACGATCGGCAACTCTCGTGAAAAAGTTGTTATGCTAATCGCTGTACACATTTTTATCGCGCGCTTTATTATTCAAACGCACCCAAGAGAAGACACGACGAACGCAGTCGAACGGGCAAACATAGCGCGCGTATAATATTCAACGCGTCGAGATTCGCTTTCTCGCTCGCTCGCGCTGCATTATTATAATAATATAACCGCAGCTGCAGCAGTGCGCGCGCGTGTACGAGTCAGCGACCACTATATAAACTATATACGTAATATCTCTCTTTTTCGCTCGACTCTCAAATCTCCGAGCAACTGCCGAGCAATTATTTTTTTCTTCCCTCCGTCTCTGATTACGAGAGACGCCGCTTTAGAATGTGCTAGTCGCTTGTTGCGCGCTCGTGGATGAAAAGGAAAAAAAGTATCGTTGTTTCGTGCGCGTGTGTAACTCCCTTACGACGACGACGTACGAAGCGTAATGAATCGCACGATACACAATTGCACTTTCACGCCGGAAAATCTCGATGCCGCGCTTTTACTCAAGTTTGGCGAAATTGCATCAATGAACGCATGGCTATAATTGTGTAACGTCTGATGCTGACATTGGCATTGACGAGTATATAAAGCATCCTCCGCGTAAACTGCATTTCTCAAATGTTGTGTTTATGTTATGAACGAGCTGATAAGCTTATACCATAGTCTAATATTAGAACTGAGATAATGGCTCGTGTCGTACGTGATATTAAAAATTAGCTATAGAGCGTCTTATTTTGCACAAATAGAGAGACGATCGGACGTCGCTGGTAGATCAATGTTGAACGATTCGTTTATAACGGACTTTTGTCTTTCGCAGAAGGTCCGAACGAGCGGCTCAGAGCAGCAGCAGCAGCAGCAGCAGCTGAAGCTACCACAGCATCTGAGCAGCAGCACGATCCGATTCTGGCCGAGAGCCTCGTGATAGACGACGAGCTGCCCTCCTCGGCCGCCGAGTCGACGAGTTTCCTCAACGACGACGATCCACCGCCCTACTCGTCGCTGATCGGCAGCTCGGCCTCGCCCTGGTCGTACGGCTACCTGGGCGGCGATCCGATCATCGGCGGGGGCCGCGCCATCGCCCGGCCCCTCGTCTCCATACCCCTAACCAGCTATCGGATCTTCAAGATCGAGCCGCCGCGCTACACGAGCGTCGACGCCTGCATCGGCTCGGAGCAGGCCATCTTCCCGAGGATATGCGCCGGCGGTGGCAGCGGTAGCGACGCGGAAGCTCGACCCCCGGCCAAGAGTTCAAATCGGACGGCTCGAAGTGAGTATAGAACACGAAGAAGAAGAAGAATAATAAAATAAAAGGCCGAATAAATCGGACTGCTATTTTATCGCTTCATGCAAAGTAGCCCCCGTAAATATATATGTAACATAAAACGAGCTGCAGCGTCTGCATCGCTCGTTTCGTCGGTCACGACTCGCGGGCGTTACTTCGCTGCAATAATAATATAATGGCAACGCACATTTCACATGGAAGACAATACCAACTGATTGATATTCGAATCGTACACACAAAGTTTCGATTTCCTTTTGCTTCTTCTCCATCTTCTTCTTTTTTTTTACAAAGGCTCGTGCTCATATATACGCCGGGACACGTCTGTCCAGTGGCGATATGTTAATGTGCTCCAAGACGAGCGGATCGATCGTCCGAAAGGCGCGAAAAAAGCGATGATTCGCGAACGGAATTTTTCCTCGTGTAGCGACATTTTACAAGCCGCCAGCGCGTTACTGGCAAATGCGAGATTCAAAAGCGCTTAAATATAATCGCGTCTGCTCTTTTTACTCGTAAAAAAGTAAAATTTTTAACGACACAACGTTGTTTTTTGTTTTTGTTTTGCAGAATACGGTGCCATACTCATCGCGGCTGCGGTAATCATTTTCCTCATGGTCCTGTCGCTGCTGGTACGCTTCGTCACGGAAAAAAGTTTATGGAGGAGCTAAATTAAAGAGTCGAAATCGGTGCTGTGATTGAATAAAAAAAAAAAAAAAAGAAAAAAAAACAAACTGTATCTCGCGCGACGACGCACTTACATATAGTGCTCATCGAGTACGTCGAGTTACAGCTCTAGGCTTTTTTTTTTAAACGAACGTCGTGTAATCTTAATGCTTTTTTTTACCCAATTCTCTCATATTATGACGAATCATTCGATAGACATGTTATTATACGCATCCCACGTCATCGCGAGGTGCATAGAGCACGATGTGTACTTGAGAATTATCGTAAAAACGTAAAAAATGTACCTGTGCGCGGATCGGTACGTGAATTGCAAAAATGTAAATATAACTTATTACTTTTAAAGAAGACGGATGAGCATGAGTACGGTGTCAAAGTAAAATGTATACCTCGTATTAGCAAGTAGCAGTGACTATTGCAATAAAAAAAATTGATCTTATTATTCAGGAGCAAAAAAAATTTGGAAAATAAAGAGTACTTGCATGAAAAAGAATCAATCATTGACTGAAGGAATTCATTTCGTTGCCTTTCTCTCTCTCAACCTAACTTGTATCGAGCCCGGCTCTGTCGGAAAGTCCATTAGAATAATTGAAAAAAGCGCGTCCGAGTTACGAGGTCGGATTGATATCCATTTAATCGGCCTGGGCGCCCGTCGACTCTCGCGCGCTCAAAGCTCGCGCACATGGATCGGCGAATTGCTGCGCTACGCATAGCAAAATCAAGAAATTCTGTCGAGTAGCAGCAGCAGCAGCGGCGATCCAGTAGCAGGAAGTTGTGCGGCGCAATTTTGCAAAACTTTATTATAGTCGATTTATCCGCTGGAAAATGCGAAATTTATAATATGTACGAAATTTATAACATACACGCGTGTGAGTGTGCACGGGATGAGCGGACAAGCGCGATGGGATTGTCAACTGTGAATTCACTAAATGCAAAAGTACGCAAAATTCGTCCCAGCATCTGTCGCGCGCGACATATATATCCCCAATCAAAAGTTTCTCTTCGCGTCTCGTGGTGTCGCGTCGTGCTTCGCTCGGCCTCGCTGTGTAACGCTGCTGCTCTCTTTGTTTCGCGACACGCAGAGATGCGTTGGAGCGAGTCTCGTTTCGCGCCTTTTACACCTTCCTCAGTAGTGGCGTTGAGTTATTCAGCCATACGCACAAAGCTTATCGGCCGAGAGCTGCTGCTGGTCGCGAGCTTCAACCTCGACGAGTTCGTTTTTAACGATAAATGAATGGTAATTAGTTACAATGTATTCCTTGCGCGCAACTCTCGCAGTTTCTCTCTCTCTCTCTCTCTTCCTGTATACGCGCATATACTAGAGATTTTTCAAATGATTTTAAATATATAGCGCGTCGTGTTATAATGTCGCACAATCGTCCACGGGATAATGTCGAGTGCGAGGGACAGTTTGATTTGTCGCTGGGGAAATTATCCTGGCCTTTGGAGCAGTTCTTTTCGGTTGGCTTATATGCTAGTGGCAACCTTGATCGCACAATGTTGGGATACAATATGGGTATTACAATGTATGTGCCCTTTTTTCAGGTAAAAACTTCTTTAATGGGTGCGTCGGGTATGGGGAGCGAAGCCGTGAAAAACGAATTTTTGTGCGACTATGCTTCTGAAATGTGCTATAGCCTATTTTTGTCATACTCTTTTCCTCTTTTTTCTTGCTTCGGTCATTTAAAATGACTAAATATGCAATGAATACTAAATAATTATAACACCAGAAGTGAAATTTCAGGGTCTACTTTCGTTGAATTTATGCTTCTGGAATTTCATTCAAACTTTAGATACTTAATGTCTTTTTTAATCTTCCTCTGTATAATTTTTTTGCTAATAAGTTCAATTTCTTTGTTAATTTCGGCTGAAATATTGATTTTTAAACAAAACCATTTCGGAAAGTTGTTACGAATAAAACAAAGTTATTACTGTTACTAACTGATATATGTATTAATGATTAAGTTTCTGAGCGAAAAAAAATTTTTTTACAAAAGTATAACCTCTGTGAATGAATGATTATTCAGGTTATTTAAATAACATAAAACTTCTAATGTCAAAGATGTTTTATTTTTATTTATAAATGGAGAACCAGTACATTTCATTACATAGTAAATCTTAAAAAGGCAAACGAGGTAACTATCGACGGCGAAAATTTCTCGTTAGTATCTCGCACAAATACGCCACACACGCTCCACTCTGAATTTCGGTAAGCTTCCAAAATTTGTCCATGCTCGCGAACTTGAAGAGTTCCTGATATGTGACTCGTTTCGTTGCCTCTTCTGGTGGCAATGGAATTAAGGGGAGGCTCTCATCTAGCGCCTCAAAAATGACGTGTTTTTCGTAATTTTTTTTTTCACGGAAGGAAGTGAATAATGCAGTCAAGTTTTTGGTACTTATAAAGTATGTATTTAACTATATTTACAAATTTTTTTCAGACCAAAATATCGAATTAGCCTTGAGTTTTTGCCCGAATCTAAAAATCTGAAGTTCCTCTTAAACTAGATGACATTTGCTGGAGGTTGAACCTAAATAATTACAAAAAAATTAAAAATTGATAAAATGGTGGACTTCGGACATTTTTTTTTGCCCTTTTTTGGCTCTTTTAAGGGCTCTAAAAAATAATAATAATGAAAAAATTTAAAATTTTATAGGTTCAAGCTCCAGACAATTTAATTAGCTTCAAAATAAAAAAAAGCGTATCTCGAAGGGCAGTACTTTTTGCGATATCTTGGCGCCCGATTCAGAAATCAGGGTTTCGAGAAAAACGCGTTCAAAGTTTTAGAAAGTGCATTAGCATATACACATAAATCGTTTGCTCGTAAAAATACAGCTCCGGTTTTTTGTCTATAACTTTTTTACCAAATCGATTTTGGTAAAAAGGGTTTCGGGGGTGTATTCTACGGGACATTTGCTAACTAAGTAAGCAACAACAACAAAAATCGATTTTTTGATCGAGTCTCATGAGAGCCTCCCCTTAAGTCGTAGAATGACAGCCTTGAATCTATCATTATTTTTTTCGCTTCTGTCGTGAATTTTTCGTCATCTAACCAACGTTCGTCAAGATCCATCGACTTCTCGAATAATCCCTTCGTGTTGAATAATGTCATGATCATCGTGGCCTCGCTTCGGTCCAGTCTGTATCCTCTTTTTTCAAGACTTTCTACGATTGCCAGAGCTCCAGACGCTAGTCTCAATTTAAGATTGAACGAAACTTCATTCGTCGATTCAAATCTGTCGGCGGAGTTTCTCCAAGTTCGAAGATCGATGCTTGACAGATCTGCGCCACGATCCAACAGTACATCGACCACATGTGGCTAAAAATTCGTCACGGCCCATTAAATCGGCGTCAAACCGAACTTGTTCTTCGCGTCCATCCACACCTACTGATGTCGGTCGTCGTTGATCTTAAGGTAATTCCCTCAAAAAAATAACTATCGATAAAGGGTCTTGAAATTTTAACCACATATTATTGACAGTGCTTTTCATATGTGTGAGAAATTTCAGGAACTTTAACCAAACCATTTCCGAAATATAATTCATAAAAGTTCGGTACTTTAACGTGGGATCCCTATGCTAGCGTTCGAAAAGACGCTATTTTGTGTGATTATAAAAAAAACGCATCGATAAAATCTTTTCAAAAACTAGGAGATGGCACAGCATGTGCTAAAACATAGCTCAAAAACTGGAAAAACTTGACCACAGTTTTTGAGAAAAGTTAATGTAAAAACATTGCAAAAATAAAAATTTAAACTTTTTGACCTGAAACCCACATTTTAAGGTTTTCAGGGTAATTTTAAACAAAAAAGTGCTCTTGCCAATTTTCTCTAAAATCTATTTTTCACGAGCTATAAACTATTCAAATTTAAACAATTTCAAGCAATGAATCTTTGCTATTTTTTATCTTGATAAGTATGAACTCTACGTAAAATTTTGAAAGAACAAATAAGTCTTAGAAATTGTCAAGGAACGCGTATGAATTTTTTCAGATTTTTTCTAGATATATGCCCAAATTATTCGGTCAGTTCTGAGGGAACTACCTTAAATAATAAATCTACGAAGTCGCAATCGTAAATTCTCTTGCAATTAATGTGCAATGGTGTGAATCAGTTCTCGTCCGTCAAATTGGGACAGGTGCCAATTCTAAGCAGCAACTGAAACACCTGCTGATGGTCGCGGGCCAGAGCCAAGTGCAGCGGAGTGTCGTCGCGCTCGTCCCGGGCATTGACCTCCATCAGCTGGCGTCTGTCGTTGATAACTTCGAAGAAGGCGTCGATCAGCTCTCCGTCGCACTGCTGCCGGCAGAGGATGTGCAGGCAATTGCCGCCGCCGGCGCCGGCCAGATTCGGATCCACGCCGCGCTTCAGCAGTAGAACGACCACTCGCTTGAGTCCCCGTTGCAGGGCGTAGTGGAGCGGCGTGTTGCCCTTATTGTCCCGGGCGTCGACCCGCACCGACAGATACATCTCGTCCGCCGCGACGCCGAAGAACAGCTCCGCCAGGTTGCCGTAGGGGTCCCGCCTCGAGATGACGTGCAGCGGAGCCATCTGCGCGCCGTTGACGAAATTGGTGTTCGCGCCGTGCCTCAACAGCAACTCGACCATCTTCGCGTTGCCATAGTGCAGGGCCAGGTGAAGCGGTGTGTTGCCGAATTTGTCCCAAGCGTCGACTCGCACATCAAGTTCGCCCCGGAGCAACGTCTGCGCCAAGCTCGTATCGCATTTCTGATTCTGACTGAGCACGTGCAAGGCCGTCAACCTGTCTCTGCTTGTCGCGATTGGATCGGCGTGACCTCGACTCAAGAGCAATTCGGCCGCTTTCCAGTGGCCGTGGTGCAAAGCCAAGTGCAGCGGTGGGTCTACCGTTTGTAACGGTCGAAAATCCGGACTCTGTCCGGCCTCGATGAATCGCTCGACCACGTCGCAGAAGCCGAATCGGCAAGCAACGTGGAAGTGGCTCAAGTCCGTCTCGTCGACGTAGTTCGTCTTTTTCTCTAAGCATGCAACGACTCCTGGGACACACGATGCGTGCTTTTTGGGATTCCGCTTTAGAGAGTACGAGTATGCTGCAGCAAGCTAGGGTCAATAGATTTATAATAGACAGATGCAGAAAGTAACTACTAATTTTGAATCGGGAAAACTTGTCGAATTTCCGAATTAAAACAAGCTGATGTAGCATGTGAGAGCCACCATCAGTTTAGATCTTATATGTGTTAAATTTCGGACGTTATTTTCTCAAGTTATGACTTTTTTAGTGTGAAATGTGATTTCAAAATCTTGACATGCAACTGTGCACATACTGAATCAAAGTAAACAAAAAAGATTCAGACAAACGGATCAAACAAAACTAGTCTGATACAATGACAGTGCAATATTCGAGTTTAATTAATTTTTTTTTTCATATAATGCTTTTATACGTGCTACGAGTCGTCGCTTGGTATATCTCAAGCATATTTACTGCACGGCGAAGAGCTCGCGCGGTGAAATACACTCCCTTCGGTATACTGCGAGTGCTCCTTGGGATATCTCGTTGCCGCTACATGCTATATACAACACTATACTACCGCATATATAGCAGTGCTCTTCCAGCAGAGTCTCGGGCTCCTCACACTCCATATAAGAAAATGTATATATATTATTCCGAAGCCGGTCACACGCGCGTTAATGCCGATCTCGAGCTTACGATTTAAGCTCGCTGCTATAAGTTTCGGCCTCTCTCTCTCTCTGATGCTTCTGCTTCCTCCTTGCGCGCGACTCTGCACTCACGAGCTATACTGCCAAAAAAATGTACTACCAGCTGCTACTGCTCCGGAGTGCTTCTGTATATGTACCACCGCCATATAATACGCTTACCTAATCGATAGCCATGGCGCCAGCGCGTCTGAAATAACAATAAAGAACTGGACCACGACGTTGCATTGCCACCGTAGCTTGGCGCGCGCTGGCCCCGCAGCCAACGAATAAACTGCATATCAACCCCACCGAATGTCGAGAGCTCTGCTGGTGCGATATACCGTGTGTGGCTCGCGTTCATGACCCCGCAAGTCCGCGTGGATTTTCAATTTTGCTAGAAGGCTGCGCATCGTGCTACCCCAGCATCTGTGCGTGCCCGCGCGTCTGTTTTTCCATGTCCGCGTCAAATCTCTCGCTGCGTGTGCTCGAATGCATGCTTATATATAGACCCGTGTATACACAACGGCTTGATTCAATCGTGGAGCGAGCATTTTTTCAAAAAAGCTTCTACTTGAAATAAACTTGCTTTTACAGGCAATGACAAGAAAGACAAGAAAGACAAGAAATAAACTTGCTTTCAAAAATAATCACATGAAATCACTATTGTCTCTTTCATTAGCAGGCAGTAATTGAAAAATACCATTTGATAGAAAAAATTATAAACTATTGATTGAGTACGGCCACACCATTCTTCATAAAATTTCAACTTTAAATCTTGTTTTTATATTTAACATGTTTTGAAATTTTATTTTAATTATTAAGTTGTTTACGGTCGGAAACAAGAGAAAGAAAAATGCTCGAAAGAGAATAAATAATCCAGCACATTTGGTGTTAAAACGTCTCCATGATGACATATTTTTATAATTTTCTGCTGCTAATGTAATTAACGCCTAATTATCGTGCCTCAATTCAAGCCATCGTAAATTTTTTTCCCTGATAACATACTTTCTATTTTTTATTCAACCGAATAATCTCGAACAGTTGCATATTTACATCAATAAGAAACAAAAACCAACTTAACGTCGTCGCGTGAGCAGACTTAATAATTTATTATGCCACTTACACGCTCTCGGCTGACAAGTTTTTTGCTCACCTTTTTTCATTCTTATATTCCAATTCGTGTTTTTGTACAAAAACATTTTTAAAAGCACCTCAGATATATGCAAAAAATGTATCTCGTATTTTTTCTAACGAATCGGCCGAGTCACGTTGTTTTCAATAACAAAAACGTGTACTACTTGTCTGCACTGTACCGGGCAGTTTCATTGATCCCCATTCGACGCTGAATGTAAAACGAGTCTTTGCTCTCTGATACTTAACTATTCATGCCAGAAGTTTTGTGGAGGTAGCTGCAGACTAGATCATGATTCTCAAAATACATGGAACTCTATTTTTCGAGTTATTTGATTGTATGATTCACTGAAAAACATTAGGTGCGTAGTTTAAACAATGCTGAAAACCTACAAAATATTTGCAAATTAATTTACAAGAAGTAAGGAATTAATGAAATGATTAAAAAATACTGAATCTTACTTAAGATTTTTAATCGACAATTTGCATCTTCTTTAAATAATAAACTTTAACGTGTAAATGGGAAGGAAGCCGGATATTTGGGTTTTTTTTCTAAACTCATAGCAACCTCTTATGATATCATTTTAATATTACCCCTTGCAGATTCGCAGAAGAAAATACTCGCCATCTAGTGGCTTTCATTTTTATTGAATTTTAATAAAATTTTTGAACAATCAACGCAAAAGGTAAATCAGTATTAAAACAATTATTCTCAATAAAAATAAATTAATTTGAGTATAAAATTAAATACTCTCGCTCAATTTATACATTAAAGATAATGTATAATTTTTTCATAAATTTTTGTGCAATTTATGCAAAAAATAAATCAGTACCTAGACATTAATTTTTAACGAAGATTTTAAGTGAAAGTACTTTAAATAAAATTCAGTGTTAATTTTAATGTCTTTATTTACATTTAATCTGCATTACATTAAAAAATTTTTCAACGAAGTATGTTGGTACTGGCGAAAACTATCCTTGTAGTCCATAAACCCAATTGAAAGCTGAAATGTGAAGTGTTAGAGTTTGCATTTAAATCAAAATGAAGGTTTTTATAAAAATATTTTTGATTGCTCGCTACATATAGGCTCGGTATATCTCATTGCAACAACAAAAGCCTTAGAAACTGTGTCTCTTTTGCGTAGAGTTATTATACATAAATTTGCATTACGTAGCATGTCAGCAACTCTGCTCTGAATCAGCGCGTGCATTGCATTTACGCAGCATGCGTGGGTATGATTAGATAAAAAAGAATAATAAAATTGTACGAAAAAAGTCGTGGTGGTACAAGGCCCAAGCGTTATGAAGACGTTGATGTATAATATACGCCAGGCAGTCTGCCAGTGGCGAAGGTGAGCTGTAGCAACATATCGAGCTCGATGAAACTGCGGCTAGTGTATACGAGTGGCTCACAAAGGAAGATGCTCGTGTCAGCTCGTAGGCTATATATACACAGTAGCAGCAGCACATATATGCCAATCACGATCGAAGCTTTGGCTCAGGTGCTATATTGGTAGCAGCAACACGTACGATTCGCGCCACGGATGTGTATATACATACTAGATAGGTATAGACCGAGCAAAAATACCTTGCGAGAAACTCCGCAGCGTGAAAAGCACGAGCCCATCGCAGTGATCCTGCACTGCAGCCTGTCTGTCGCTCCATATAGGCAAGGCATCGCGAGGCTGCAGGCGATATTATTTACACCGCTCGAGATGATCGGAGTAGAATCACGCGCGTGTATGCGTGTGTGAGCAGTGTAGTGACGGCGGCGGCGGCGGCTTTTCATTTATCGGCGTTTTTCCGCGTGTAAGCATCCACCTCGTCATGATCGAGCAGCGAACTGCTGCGATATTTTATTATAATGATCGGACGCGCGAGCCGCGGATCGCGCCGCGACCTAACATTATGTGCCGCGCTATAGGCGATTGCTCAATGGCAATTTTTGCGCGCGCGTCGCGACGCCCGAGTATAAAAGCGCTCGAATATACGGTGTTTTCCTAGTTGACATTTGCATAATCACGAACAAGCATCACGTGCCGCGCATTCCATTATAATATCAACTCCCGAGTCGCGTACGGTATATACATATGTATTGCGCGCTGGAATAGGTAATGTGCCGTAGCGGCATACGTCACACGCGCGGATCGAGACGAGCGAGCACGAACAGCTGATATCCGCACATATTTTCACTCGCGCATCGTTCGCCGCGTGCAAAGGTACATCATCATATACACGACTTCAAGGTACATCATCATATTCGACCGTCCCTACACGGAAAAACTTTTGAACATCTTTCACGCTCGAGTTCTGAAAACGAATCACTCACGAGTTCTGCTGAGCTATTATCGTGATCAGCACTGAGCGCGATTCAGCCTCGAGACCGAGCGTGAATCGCGCTCGAGCCTCGTCGAGCTAGTTTCGACATTATCACTGAGTACGATTCACACTTATCTTGATGTGACTCTCACAATATCCAGCCACAATTCAGTACTCAGTATTTTTTAAAAAGAATTAAATGGTACAGTCGAGTAAATTACTATTTAATAAGTGTCACTTTTATTTTACAAAGTGTTTTTGAGAAAAATCAATGAAAATTCAATACACGGGTTACTCATACTTGCGTCTGCTCATAAAAACACTCATAGAACCCATCAAATTTGGCTGAGGGCCTACGAGGATTTGAAAAAGTACATATTTCTAAGACAATATTTGTTCCTAAATGTTCGATTTCAAATAAAGAGTGAAATTCATCTCTTTTATATATTTTGTTTTTTGCCTAGCAACCAAAAACTCAAGAGAAAGAAGAAATAATAATAATTCTCATTCTCCAGGTTACCACGCGAGAGTAAAGAGCACTTTAACTTTTTTCTCTCTCGTTTTCAATCTTAATTGATTGGTTGTAAAACTTAATCATCAATTTGATTAAGATTAAGCTCTCAAATGAGCGACAATTGTATTTAATTGAACAAATAAATGTGAGTTTCTTTCGGATTCATTTTTTCTTACTTAAAAATCTGTGTTTCAATTTTATTACTAATAAATTGTTTAAATTCCCTTCAAAAATCACGAGGTCGCTTAGCCAAACTAAGGAACTCGACGCTACACTAAATTTGGTTAAAATATTGATTTTTTAGCATTTAATAAAAGCACAAGCGTCATCTTTTCAAAAATGTCGAAAACTAAAATGGGTTACACAAATTGTGCCATTTAAATTAAAACTTTACGATACGTTTGTATTATGTATGAGTAGGAGCTGCTAAAAGAATATAGTTTCCCTTCTTTTTATTTTTGATTGTTCATTCAAGGATTAAGAAACCTTCTAGAGTCGAAAATATTCGTGTAAACATTTTCGAAGGGTTCTTTCTTTCTCTTTCCACGATCTTTTTTTTGAAAATTTTAATTTTTCACACTGTTGAAAATTTTTTTCAACGGTTGCACGTACTCTGACATTTCAAGTTTTTTTTTAATTTAATGACTCTGCCACCGGGTGATTTAATTATCATAATTAATCATTGCACATAAAAATCAGAAATAAAACTTGAATTTTTTTATAGTTCAAAAACATTTACATTTCAACCGGTTCAAAAGTAAAACACCAATACGGTAGTGAATGAAAGTGTAATGATAGTTGATAGCGTGAAGTTAAAATATGACTATTATATGTACATGATTTTTATTGAAATTTTAAAAAATCGATTTAAGATTCTATAAGTATATTTACAATTGTCAAGAAAAAATCAGCGCTTGTCATAATTTCACTAATGAAATGCACACTATTCTCTTAGGAACTATTCTTAACCCTTTAACGCCTTAAATGACCATTTTTGGACAACATTTATAGCGATGAATTACACCGACTAGAAATTGTTTAAAAAACTTTTCAGACATAATTTCTCTCGTAAAATTTAATGTACTTTTCGAATCTGGGGGTAGAATCTTAAAAAAATTATTAAATAAAAAGTTATAAACAATTTTGTAAATAAAAACATGAAATTTCGAGAAAAAAATCTCGTTTAACTCAAATTTCAACAAGGAAAAAAAGTTCGCTCGTGCGTCTTACGTATATAAATTTGGTCAATGGCTTGTATACTTTATTGTAAAACAGTTATAATTACGAAATTCAAAATGGCGATCATAAATTTGACTCCCGAAGACCTGTATGTCATAAAATGATTCCGACAATTTTTAACTCGATAACCAACAACTTAACGAGAGGAAGTTATAAAACGAAAAGGGTTTAGAATTGATCAAAGAACACGCCTGATTTTTTTCAGAATTTTTTGGAACGATTTTTGAATTTTTGAAAAAATGGTGTTATCCAGAAATCCAAAAATCGCTTTAAAAATGCATTAAGTGCTAAAGAAATTTGGGGTGCGAGGCAATTTGATAAGGCACCAAAAAACATTCCATATGATGGTCCACTAGCTCATCAAAACTGCGAAAGTAAAGTTGGCTATCCAACGAATTCGAGATTTTGTGAATAACAAATTTTTGAAAAACAGTCCATAAAATTTACTAAGTATTTTTCAATGAGGAAGCTGAATATTCAAACACAGCTTGCAATAAATGATGGAAGGATTTCAAGTTTTTGTGAATAATTTATAGTTTTTACGAATATAGCTGGAACTTATTGCATTTCATCAGTGAAATTATGACAAGGGCTTATTTTTTTCTTGGCTAATGTAAATATTTATAGAAACTTATGTCGATTTTTGAGTTCAAGTTGTTTCTAAAATCTCAATAAAAATCATGTCTATATGATAATCTTATTTTGCGCGTCGAGACTGCAAGACCTCTAAAAAATTGAATGAGATATTAATGTGGGACATGAAAAGTATAGGAAAAAAACAGAAATCAAAGAAAATTTTATATACTGATATATTTATTCAATAAACAACATGAAAAATGTACAAAAATCAACAACAGCGGTCAGTTAAAACCACCAGCTTCATCCTATTCCCAAAACGGCTTAATTGCTCTCGGTGTCAAGGCATCTCTCACGAGGTCCTCCAGCTCCGGGAACTCGTCCCGCACTCGCCGGTAGAATCTCTTCACCACCTCCTCGCACAGATGCCTGTCGCAGGCCTCGAACAACGGCCCCGTCGGGAGTCGCCACAATTTTTTCGACTCGGCCAGATTGAAGTACGTCGCGTACGTGACTCGTTTCTTCGCCACCTCCTCGGGTCGCAGATACATCAGCTCGTGGAGCGTCAGGTTTGGCCGGACCATCGTCACCTTGGCCATTATCACGAAGTCCATGCTGCTGTCGAAGTGCAGCGGACAATCTGTGAACCAATGCGTTCCGGTTGAACAAAGTCGCGATCGTCCTGGCATCGTTGGGCTTTAATCGGTAGCCGTGCTTTTCCAGGCTCCAGGCAGGCCAGCACGCCCGAGGCCAGTTTCAGCCTGTGAAGTCCGACTCGACGCTTGGCGTGCCACTCGAAGCACTGGTCGAAGTGAGTGTAGCTCGGGAACCTGAAGCCGGACAGATCGTCGTCGAGTTGCAGGAGTCTCTCGACCAGTTGCGGCTGATGATTCGCCACGGCCCATTCGAGCGGTGTACGGCGCCTCTTGTCCTTGAAGTCGATCTGCACCACACGATCGATTTCGCCGCAGACTCTGAGCAGCGTCTTGGCCAAGTCGTCGGCGGGTAGTCGTCTGCGGCTGATGCAGTGCATGGCGGTGGTTCCCTCGTTGTCGGGCGTGTTGGGATCCAGTTCGTCCTTTTAAGTCCCGGGCGTTGACCGGACAGTTGCCAGCCATGGCGTCGAGAATCTCCTCGATCGATTTGCTGTCGTAATTTCTCCGGCACATCAGGTGCAGTGCTGTAAATCCCATCTCGTTGGCCGCATTCGGGTTGGCGCCTTTCTTCAGCAGCAGCAAGGCCGACTTCTTGTCCCTACGGTTCAGAGCCACCAGCAGAGGTGTCCGACCCCAATCGTCCACGGCGTCGATATCGATCGACTTGCAGAATTGTTTGTTGACTTTCAAGAACATCTCTACCAGATCGTCGCGGCTTCTCTTGCAAACGTCGTGCAAAGCCGTCTCTCCCTCGGCGTTGGACAACTGTGGATCGGCGCCTCGCATCAGCAGGAAGTGGATGATTTCCTTCTCGCCCCACTGCGCTACCAAGTGCAGAGGCGTTTCACCCTTTCCCCGCCACGGAAGATTGGAATCTTGGCCGTGGTCGAGAAATTCCTTGACGAATCGCTCGCAGCTCTTGAACATGCACGCCACGTGCAAGTGAGTCAAGCCCGACTCGCTCGCGTAGTTCGTGTCGAATCTGGGATAGATTCGAAACAGATGGCCGATCGCGAAGCCGAACAGGAGGACGTCGCTCGCCGCGTAATGCAGCGGTGTGGTCCGCAGCAAAATAACCTCGCCGTCTTCATCGAGCTCCGGTTCGTCCTCGTAGCCGGTTTTGATCAAGAATTTGACCACCGTGATAAACGGCCATCGGATGAGGCCGGGTTTCCTCACGCATTTCATGGACTCGATGATGAGCTCGTCGATCTCTCTGGGACGAAAGATCTCTCGGACATCCGGGAGCGGGTCTTTCCAATTGAATATCAAAGTATTGAGCTTACTGAAAAAAGCCATGCGCTCTTTTCCCGACTCCCAATTGAAGCCGCTCTCGCGTAA